TCTGGGCAGGGCTTGCTCAGAGCCCTTGTACAGGTGCGGCTGTGGGGAAGCTGTGGGGTCCTGGGCTGGTGGGATTTACATGATGTGGATTGGCAGCTCTCAGCAGTGATAGTCCTGCCTGCAGGGCCTGAGCCTGCTGCCCTATACCTGCCTGGGTCCTTCCCTACAGAGTTTGTGTAAGTAAATCATATCTTGAAGCTCTTGAGGACTTTAGTGGCCACTCAGGCTGCTCTGGCCAGGCTGGGGTATGTGAGCCGGGAGGAAGGGTGCTGTCATATTCCTAGAGTGTGTGTGCTTTCTTGGGAAAACCTTTTTTGGAAACCTGGTGGGGGAATGACTGCTGATGAGGCTGTAGGGGTGCAGTGCCCATCCCAGAGGTGCTGGGGCTCGTGGCTTTCCCAAGTTGTGGTGGTGAACCTCTCTGGCTGCCCTTGCCCTTTGTTCTGGGCTGGGGACTTGTGCCAGCATGGCTCTGGCTCTGAATTCCACAGACAGGCAGCGCTCTGCAACACAAGCCTGGCTCAAGAGGGGCTCTGGCACCACCTCTTACTGGTGCAAAGCTGAATTGCATCTCTCTGGGCGCAGCAGTGCCTCTCCCCCTTGCTCTGTTCCCTGCACCCATGCTCCAGGGAAGGGCTGGGGGTGGGCAGGCAAAACCCCTCAGGTGCTCTGTTGGCGGTTTCAGTGAAACCACTTGGTGCACTGGGTTTGTTCTGACCCTCTGCTGTGATGGGGAAGCTGAGGAAGGCTGAACCGAAGGGGAAAGCAGTGAGACCCCAGGGAGAGAGGGGGATGCCTGTGTCCCTGCTGTCGGTGTGCCTGCAGCGGTGATGGCAGTGAGCAGCAATGCCGCTGTGAATCCTGCTGTGTGCTGGTTTTTATCGCTTGTTCTGTAACGGTAGGTATGCAAACAGTGTGCCGGGGGAGAGAGCAAGAGTTCCCAGCTGTAAAAAGCTTTTGTTTTATCCTAGTGTGGCATCAGCCTGGCTCAGCCTTGGCAGAGCCTGAATGTGATGCATTTGATGATGCTGGGAGGCAAAGCTGGCGCTTGCCTGTTGTTGCCCGGTCTCTCCTCTCCTCCCATCGAGCCTCAGGCTCTCCTTGGTGCCTGTCTGCCCTCTCTGGGCCCAGCCAGCTTTAGTGAGGTCACAGATGCAATTATGAATTGAACATGAGAGATAGAGGATTAAAACTGCGTTTAATACCTGAGGTGGCAGGTCATGGGAGCTTGGGCAGGGATCTGATAGCTGGCACTCTTTTCCCTGCCAGCTGCTGGTGCACAGGCTCGTGCACCATTTGCCCAGGCTGGTTTCATCTCTTGGGCAGATGGAAATGATCTGTCCTCCCTTGGCCAGCCTCATGATATCTGCACAGGCACGCTGGTGTACCTCTGGTTTGGACAAGGTCTGGCTCTCCAGTTTGCAGGTGACAGGGTCAGCTCCACCATGTCTCTGGCTCACTTCGCAGCCCCAAAGCATGCTGCAGCGCTGACACTGCGACCGACACCAGTTTGTCACCCCTTGGGGTGCGTTGTCCTTCCCCTAAGCAGGCTGGAGCCAGAGCTCATGTCTGCCAAGCTCCTGTAGCTGTCACAAGCTCCCCTCCATCTGTTAAGTGCCAGGTGCTGATTTATCTGCTTTACACATCTGGGATCATGCCTCACCTACGCCCTCGGTGAGGGGGATTAGTAGAACCAGAGCTGTACGTGTGAACCTGAAACACTTAATTAGGATGTTGTGTGCATGCAGCCTGGTTGGGGTGGATAAGGCTGTGGGACAGGGATTAAACAGTGCAGGGACTTTACATCCACTTAAGCAGGAGTGCCAGCATGCAGAAACTTTGCTTAAGATCAGGAAGGGTGATTTACACCTGACATGGGCTCAGGATGCCAGGGCTGGCCAAAGCGGGTTCCCCTGGCCCTGCATGGGGGGCTGCGCTGGCGCACCAGCTGGAGAAAGGTGGGCTTGTGTCCAGCTGTCTCTGAATGATCCCAAGTTGTTTCCCTGGGAATCCACAAAAGGGTATTTGAGCTCCTTGCAGGAGAAACACTAGCACGGAGGAAGCCCCTACTCCATCCTCCCCTGGTCTAAGGGATGGCTCCTGCTCACTGCCAGGGCAGTGCTGGGCATCAGCGGGTGTGGGGGAGCCTGATGCTGCAGGTTGATATGCAGCCCCTCTCCCTCAGCACCGCCTTCGGAGGAATCCAGGACCTTGCAGGCATCTTGCTTTGGTGCTAGGATCGATTTGCAGGTGAAATTGCCCCGTGATGAGGCATCCTCCAGGAGCTGCTCAACACCCTCTGCAAAGGGCTCCATAGCTGCTACTTGAGCTGTCTCACCCTTCTAACGCCGTGACCAAGCAGACCCTATGCCCCCTCGGATCCTGTTTGAGACCTCCATGACCAGGCAGACCCTGTGCTCCCTCGGGTGTGTCTGGGACCAGCTCAGGCATCTGTTTCCTGTCTCCAAACACATCCATGGGCACCAGAAGCTCTGTGTGCAAGGAGAGCTGCACTGCTTGTTCCCTGCACCCCAGCTCTCCCCAAGCAGGGATCCTCCCTCATCCATCCTGACTCTCTCATGTATAAAGAAGTATTTTAAAATATCCATTGTTTATTCTGTAGCAACAGCCAAAGGAGCTGCTCTGATCCATGGCATAAACATATTTTCCCAGAGTTTTCTAAACAGCTACTTGACCCTCTGGCCAGCACTTTCCCGTAGGGTCTCTCTGGGGCCGGCTCTGCCTCCCCCTGCCCGTGGTGGCGGTGGCTGCGCAGGTAGGGAGCCGGGCCAGCGTTCCTGGCCTGTGGCAGGCACAGGCAAGGGGAGAGGATGCTTTCCCTGGTGCCTCAGCCATGGGCTGGAGGGTGCAGCTGGTGTCTCCAGCACCACGGGGGCTCGGGTCGGGGCTCTAGAGCAGAGGGGATGGGGGTCAGGGCTGTGCGAGACCCAGCATCTCTGTGCTTCAGCTTTTCCAGCTGTAGAACTGGGACAAAGATACTGAGCCACGTTACTTCCCTTGCCTTGATGAAATGCCTGGGACTCTCCCTTCCTCTCCCCAGTTGAGCTGGCTCCCTGGGAAGGGAGGAGGGGTCTGAGATCTCCTGTCTGGGAGTGGGAGGAAAAGTCTCATTTAAGTGCTGGAGAGAAGACATCAGAAGCGGTATTTTGGATGCCTGCTTCGGCACCTCGAGAAAAGCCTGGCTGTTTGTCCCACCGCGGGCAGCGTGTCTGTCTGTTACTCACTTTGATTGCGGTGGGAGCGCTCCCCTCCAGGGCACGTGGTGTGGAGATGGTCTGAACGTGCCGTGAAGGACCATCTGCGGGAGAATACGCTGTAAAACCCCTGGGGCTGAGTCCTGCAGCCCTTTGGGTGCCCAGGAGCCAGCGCGCAGCCCAGCTCTGCCTGGTGGGTGCATGCTGGGCTGCTGGGGGAGCGGAGGGGAGGACGGGGAGCGGAGGTGAGGATGGGGAGCCACCAGCCCCTGGTCACCCAGCAGGGTCGTGACAGAGCCGGGCATCCTGCCCCCGTGCCCGGCCTCTGCCAGGTCCATAGAGCCAAGCCCAATTCCCTTGTTATCCATGGACATTCCCACAGATGCTCTCGCTTTATTTTTCGGACACAAGATTCAGCTGCAGCTCCATGTGCCGACACAGGCTGGAGTTGCATGTGCAGCCATGTTAAAAAGCCAGTGACTTCCCTGTGCACATCTTGTTTGTGCCCTGTGCCATTCCAGCGGAGGGACAAATAGCAAATAGCCCTGTAAATAGCAAGTCCAGGGCTCAGTCCAAGCCAGCAGTTAATGCCAGAGCTGGGAGCTAAAAGGGGTTGCATCAAGCCCTCGTCTGACTGCTTTGAAAAACCAAAACAATCTTGTAAAGATCAAGCTTGTAAAAATGGGGCTCTGTTTTGCTAGCTCATGAATGGGAAGAAATGCCATCTGGATAATTTTTTACACATTTTTTCCCTCTTTGTCAACATTCCCCCATTTGGCTGAAACTTCAAAATGCCATATTTGGAGGGTGCCTGTCTTAGAAGTTCCAGTATTTGTATAAATAGCTGATAGTGAAAAAATTACCCGTTCTGGAGTCTGCCCAGGGGCCCTCAGGAGGAGCGGAGCTGGGGGCAGCAATGGGGCTGAGGCTGCTGGGGCTCTGGAGCAGCCAGAGTGCCTTCCAGTCTGAGGTGGCTCCTCACTGCCATGTGTGAGTGGAGAAGGAAGGGTTTGGGGGTCTCCAGAACACCAGGGCCCACCCAAATGCAGGAGGGGGAGCAGCAAAGGTCTGCCCACTCTCCTCCATCAGCTGGGGAAGGGGTTTGGGCAATAAATGTGGAAGTGAAATAGTGACTGTGAGATGCCCTGGATGTCGTCTTTCGGAGTGGGGCTGTCATCTTGCCATCCCTCTGCTGATGTCGGGGGAACAGGGGTGTCATTGCCCCCACCAGGGACAGCCTGTCCTGCCCAGGGGAGAGCCTGAGCACGGCGAGGGGTGTACGGAGAGGGGCACGTGGTGAGGGACACGTAGCAAAGTCCTGGGGTGCACGGTGAGGGGTTTACAGCAAGGGTGCAGGGCGAGTTGCTGAGGCGTGTGGAGAAGGACTGGAGCACATGGTGAGGGGTGCACAGAGGGAATGAGGGGTGCAGGGAGAGGGGTGCACAGAGAAGGACCAGGGGGCATGGCGAGGGGCTGGTGTGTGCATGGCATGGCGCAGGGTGCGTGGAGATCAAGGACGGATGGTGTGGGACCGGGGTGCACGGCGAGAGGCTGGAGCGCACAGTGAGGGGCGCACGGCGAGAGGCTGGAGCGCACGGTGAG